TCTAACAAACAGTGGGATACTGCAGAAACCTGTTGACCACTTTGGGAGGAACTTATCATGAGAAAAACAACATGAGATGTTTCCAGTGAACCGTATAAAAACAACCATCATATTCAAATAATGTCATTTTATCCACAGCACTGTTACTCTGTGTGTTGCTGAGTTCTGCTACTTGCTAAATTTGCATCCATGCAAATAAATTGTCTCACATGCAAGCCACATTACAAACGGGTTACTGTATACAATGCCCGTCATGGGTTCCACTGTGCTATTAATAGCCTTCAAGACGTATTTGCTTTTCCTTTTTTTTCAGACACAAGGCTATTGATGTGCTATTTTTATATTGTCAATTTGCCCTACCTCCTTTCCTTTCGGTTGCCAAGCAATAGAACAGGGAACCTGATTGGCCAGTGAGAGGCTTTTGCTGACTGTGACACTCGACTGGCTGATGAAATTCACTCTTATTCTGCTTACTGGACTCTGAGAGCACAAGACTTGGTGTCTTATTTTGTAGTGTATTTTTTTTTTAAATATTCAAGGTAGTGCAAAAACTAAATAGTTTTTCTCCATTTACTAGTTTTCGCCAGTGATGCTTGCAAGGAGAAGAACCACATAATCCAAGCTGCATTAATAATAACCCCATTCTAACTTAATCTTCTGCTATCATGTTAATTCTAATCCTCTTAATCTGTTTAGGGGTAAATTGGTGGGACACACCTAAACCACCGCTGTGTAAGTGAATTCAAATAGACTTAATCTGACCCCATGCATCTCCCAAAGGAAACCAAGGCCTGGTGAAACTTTCATCCTCCCTCAATTGATTATGGCTCGTGCAGAGATTTGGAAAAGCCTATCCCACTGCTCCCTTTCATAGGCCCTATAAAAAATTCATCCCGTCCTAATGGAGAGAGAGAGATAGAGAGAGATCCTTTTGAATGAGCCTGCTGCAGGCTAAGCACGCAGCGGCACAGCTGTCTCCTGGCACCATGCAAAATTAGACATTTGCATGTTTTCGATGTTATCCTAACTTATTAATGACATTAGGTATTGGTTTTTATTCTTTTGTAACCACCAGAATATCTACACGTGGATAGACTTTTAAAGTTTTTCTTGTACATTGCAGATTAGGTAAAATCTTTAGGTTGCATTTTATGCAAGTCTAAGGCTTATTTTATACAAGAGAAATGAGTCAGAAGGTTGGTGACAGTTTTATGTTTAAATCTTTGTCTAAGCTACATATGAGGTCTGGCTTATATGAGTTTAAGCTACATCTCATTTAATTCTTTATTTTTGCATTTCAGATGTCTTGCTAAACTATTGTTTAAATTTTACACAAAATATAAATCTAAAAGCTTCTTCTGCTGAAGACTGTATTTAAAGAGGGTGACACATATATCAAACCCGAAAAAATATTATCCATAAAATATCATCCAAGGCAGTGGCTTGGATGATATCCAAACACGGTTCTGCCACCGTGTTTGGATAATACGGTGGCAGAACATGAGAAAATGCAAAGATTTAAATGTTTCGTGACCTGAGCAGACACAATGAGGAAGTGTCATATTCATGGAATAACTAGAAGTCTATCAATAGACAGAAGGTGGAGATGGCAAACAGCAGAGGGAAAAAGTCCTGGACTGATCTTCCATCTGCAGGATTATAACTGCAACCATTGTTTTAAATAACAGATATTAGCTGCAGTAATAAAAATGGAAGTTACCTAGTGGGGCACCACTGTTTCTTGCTTGGTAGTGTTTGTCTTGACAAATGTTCAATGACATTATAAAAACTCCAGGGTGACAAAAAGAATTTGGTGCAAAAACATGTAATTGGGCAGAATTTTAATATTGATTTGATTATTATTATTATTGTCGTCGTCTTTAAGGGTGACCATTATGAAAGGTTCAGTATAAGATGTTCTCACTCTATTGCTACTATGATTACCCAATAGGTAAAGTATCTAAATTTTAAGACACTTCCTGTTAAATCAATCACATTTTCTATTTGTTTTGCTCTTCTTTTTCCCAGATTAAGGCTAAATGTTCACATGCTTTTGATAACATCACACAAAGTGTAAGGCCATTGATCAGAATTGTTTTGAGAACCTTCATTTTTGTTTGTCCACAAGCATTTAGTATCATGTTTTTAATCAAATTCTTCCTTCAAAAGTCTTCCCTTCTACTCACCAATCATTTTGAGCCAAGTTGGCATAAAAACGAAATGGTCAACATGGTTTTGAAGTCAGAGCCTATCCATTACATCGTTCCAGTTAACACCTGTGGGACAAAGTGAGGGGGAAAAAAAATCCATCACTTGGCAATTAAAAAGAGAAGTTATAGTCTGAGGTCAAACAAGCAGAACCACTCTACTGGTAAAATGTATAACAATTTGACATGATACAAGAAGAAAACACCATTTATACATTTCTGTAGTTTCAAATATGCACAGAAAACATATGGTTATTTATTACCCTCCTCATTGGATGGTTCAATTTGTTATATCACTTACAGATTAATTTCTTGCAGCTCAAATATTTTGTACCTGTCTAGACCAGAAATGATTTAAAGTAATTTCCTGTTTCTTATGGGGTACTGAAAATGTGTTTACCCAATTAGTATTTAGCAGCAGGAGGTCACTTAGATTCAAATTCTAGAGTCAACTTAAATAGGGATTAGACGCAACCTATTGCAAAAAAGCCATAATACTAACTTATGACAAAATTACTCAAGTTATTTGTGAGATTTGAGTCTTTTGTGACTGTCTCGATATTTAATGAAAATACTTAACTACCAAGAAAAATAAACATATGAACAGCAGTTTAACTCTGGCTACAAAATTATTTGTTTACAGCCATGAAAGTGGAGTAGAAAGGGTGAAGGTAAAATAGTAGTATCATTTGTTAAACTGCAGAATTGACCTGGAGCCACTCTATTCTTCTGCCTTGTGTGATGTCACTGACTCAAGTCAGCATAAAAAGCAGAATTTGCAGTGATTTCTTTCATGCCCTGTTTAAAAACTTCTCATTTTGTGAAATTCGGCAGTGAAAATTTATGTTTCATTACCCAGTTGTGGTCTTACTGTGTGTGATGTGATCAGTTACAGAAAAAAATACACAAATGTAATATTTTTAAAAAATAATGTGCTGCATTTATAAGGATTTGTTTTCGTATTTATGAATAAATAAACCATAAGTGTTGCAACATTACAACTGCTCCTACTTGAATTACTACTTTTTATTTTAAAAAAGCTTTAGAGTTCTAATATTTGTTTCCTGTATCCCACTCGGTTCCTTTTTGTAGAGGGGCTGGCAGACTGTACCATTTTAGTGGGAGGGGACACAAACACTTTCAGACATTTTCCACGTATGCTTAACAAGAAAAAACATTCGAATCAAAAGCCTGTCTTCATTACTGACGTAAATATACATAGATTTAAAGGTAGAACAATTTTTAATTCTGATTTTGTGATTAAATAAATTAAAATATGACGCATGTAAGCTAGCGTGCACCCCTCAGTGTAGACTGTTGCCATGTTCCCACTTTCATGGGTGTGGTGATTAGCCTGCTTGGTGAAAATTTCAGTCAAATCCGATCCGAGTGGGTGCTCCCTTCTGACCCCTAAAGCGGATTAAATTGTGTGGAAATTAACGCGGCTCCTTTCCATGGTCTCCCCCACCCCCAGCTGAGGCCATGGTTGTCGTGTGAAAACATATCGGTGCGACTCGGACCGAAGGAACGGGACTGAGCCAGAACGCCTCTTTTTCAGGTGAGGACGTGCAGTCTCGTCTTTGGTATTTTGGTTGTCTGTGTGTATGCGTGTGTGTGTGTGTGTGTGTTTTAAGGCTATTTCCTGTTTTTGCTCGGAGCGGGTTTATTTTTGTTTTTGCAGCCTCGGCGGAGTCCAGAATTGTCCAGAACCATGAAATGTCCCTGACGGCAGCGGTTGTGGCAGTTGAAATAACTGCTCCCAGTCTTTTTAATGGCTCAATTCTGTGTTTTCCCCTCCTTGAAGCTTTCCATTGCCTACAAAATCCTCAGCTATCCAAACGCGGCCTTTTCGCCTGTAGGGCGGAAACTACGAGCAAGAAAACTGTCGCTAGTTTTTTATTTGTTTATTTATTTTTACTTGTAATTTACGGTTTTGTTTCCAGTTTTTCCCACACTACTTTGTTTTCTTGCTGCACAGTCCTACGTAGCTTTTCCCCTGTTTCTTAGTAATTAATATACAGTCCGCCTTCCTATCAGTATCAACTGGTGGTGTGACAGGGGCCCTGCCTCCTGCTCCACAGACGCATCTCCACTACATCAGCCTGTAAAAACAACACACTTTATTTGTCGCACAATCTCTTAACATGATTTAACTACGTTTTTGTCTGTGGTTGGGAGTCGGTGTTTGTCTGAAAATGTGAAGTAACACAGTGAATCATGTCATCAATCTCCTGGTTTCATCATGTCATCAACAAGTGGTAACTAGTTTTGGTGGGTCTAGTATCGAAAAAAAGCCGAATATGTCAAATTTCAAATCTCCTGTTTGACAACAGGTTCTGTTTAACTGCAAACGATTTATGTAAGGAACATTAAAAAAAAAAGATAAGCGGTGGGGAAAAAGTAGTTAAAAAAAAAAGATTAAATCATGAGTAGAAATGAAACAAAAAGAAATAACCAAAGTTTTCAATAATTTTAGATTAGTTAAGTTTGCTTTCTGGAGTGTTTATCAAATGCTCTGATTAGTTTTCACACACAAAACGTGGTTAAATGTTCTGCGTTTTTATTGATTTCAGGTGGTAAACAAAATGAATTAATTACAAAATTAACCCTGTTGATGCTACTCAAGTATATGTCTTAACCTTTTATGTGATTTTTATTGATGTCAGAAGCGTCCATCCATGTATAAGCTATTGTTGATGCTTACATAGCTCCATAACTGGCAAATGTTTTGATTTTGATTTTTCTACAAACCGGGGGAAAATTGTAGGATTTTTTTTTTTTTAAGCCAACTGACAGGCAGTGTTCAGCATCTTGCCTTGGCTTCCCTTGCATCTAATAAAATTAGACTCTTCAGTTGTGTCTAATTTTTATTAGATTCAAGTCTAATATAGATTAAACTTATATTTTTGTATAAATTTTTACAAGGCAGTTTAGGTTCCATTAAATTATACAGACTTTGTTTAAACCAAGGTCTGAAAAAAATTAGCTTTTGTGATATTAAAACCTTTGATATAACTTCAGTGGTATTAGTCTCTCTTTTTTTTTTTACAATTAAGAATAAATTAGGGTTTTAAATTAGACTTGTGGTTCTTTAAATTAATATGACCTCGGGTGGTTTAGAAGCCAAACATTGATGTTTGGCATCTAAATATTGTTAAGCTCTTGCAGTGGGAAACTATAATTGTAAAAGTAATTGACTGGCCACTATCACAGTTATTAATGATATGTGTTGATGTCTGGTATCATCCATAGGTGCTTCAATAATTAATCACTGTTATGATGGAAATATAGTGGAACAAACAGGAGAAACACAATATCAAATACTGTATTTTTGGTCATTGAGTGATATATTAAAGCATTTAGAGTGAAGTTATGTTCTTGTCTAATGTAACTGGATTGAAATGTTTATATAAAGTAAGCAAATTGGCCATAAAATCCAGTCTCTGATGTTGTTATAATTACAGTTTGGACAAATGCTAAAAGTCAGTGAAATTCCAGTAAATATTGACACTTTACATTTAAATGACATTAACTGGTTGACCAGAACGAAGATGGTTAATTTTCACGTTACTGGAATCTTGATATCACTTCCTCCATTCTCCAGATGCTTTGTCAGTAGGAACAAGTTCACACCTGGCGGAGACACCCCTTTGATTCTTTAACTCGTGTTATGACATACCAAAATGTACCTGCTTTACTTCTCAGTAAATGTTTAAAAGATGTTTAAAATGTAATGTAGAGTAAGATACTGGTGGAAGATAAAAGTCGGGGGGAAAAACAAGCCTCTGCTTATTATCTTAAGAAAATGATAAGAAAAGGTTGAGTCATGGATAATCTGAATTACGTATTTGAACCTGTTTTTTATGGTAAAATGCCTTAGGATGACATTTGTTGTGACTTGACAAAATATGAATAAGCTGAATTTGAAAGGGAAAAGTGGCTGAGCAAATTCAGTTTTGTTTTTTGCTCACTTAGCCTCTGTTTCTTTAACCAGAACTTTTGGTAAGTTGCGTATGGGAAAATTTGTTCATCAAGACCAAATGGAAATGAACTACCAAACTATTATTGCAAATGTGATTTACACTTGTTTCCATCTGTACAGACAAAATATGCATTATTTTTACTTCCTCCGTCCTTGTTTTTCTTTGTTTTCCTGTATCATCATCGTCCCTTGACTACTCTTTGCATATCCTTAAGCATTAGAGCGACAGATGCAGGAAGTAACTCAAATCTGAAAAATGGGTACTCCCTAATTAAGTTGTAATGCATACAGGAATAAAACTGAGAAAATAGACGGAATGTAAAAAAGAGACGGAAGTATATGTAATCAGAGACAAAAGGGTGAAAAAAGAAAATGATACTTAAATTAACTAAAAACATGTAGGACATGTTAAAAAAAAGAGCGAAATTCCATGTTAAAATGGGTTTGCTAGATGTACGGGAAAAAACAGAGAGGGAAGTAAAGGAATACATAATTTTCATTTATTTTAGTAGCATATTCCATATTGGGGTTATTATACATTTTTGCATAAATGTCTACAATCAAGGCAGCTTAGGGCTTAGGTTTCTTTAAAGATGTTCGTTCTTTTATAAAAGAATCGAGAATACCCACCTCAGGGTTTCCCTCACTGTATTATAAGCCTGGCGGGCCATTGGGCTTTATTTGTGCCCCCACCAGGCTAAGCATCACTTAGTTATTTTAGTTTTTTGTTTTTAATGATTTCCTCTTTTTAAGATTTTATACTTGGTATTTAGGCATTAGTCTTCCAGTCTTCCAATAATGCATACGTGATATTTTCAAATTTCCTGTCAACTTTAAAACGATTTTAACTGAAAAACATGGCGGCCGGCTGGATGAATGACTGCCTTGGTACCTCAAGCACAGGGCTTAGCAAGTTTTCTGGGGTAAACCTATATCCTTAACTTTACTTATCTAATCTTTGTTTAATTCTCTGTGATCAGCTTTGTTACACCACTTCTGAGTGAACTCCTGGAAATAAAGTGGAATAAAAACAGGAACGACAACATCCTGAATCAAGAAATATAGCCGCCAAACTTTTTTTGACAGTACAATAGTACAAGATTTGTTTGTGCCTTTGCCTTTCTCGTGTTCTTCCCCCTTTTTATTATGTAGAGCTATTATTGTTAAGGAAACTACAACTTAAAACTTTCTAGGATAATTCATCTGACGGCTCTTCTCAAAATAACAGCCTCCTTCCCGTTTTGGTTTCTGATTGAGCAGTAGTTTCTTCATGATGTGAACAAGTCCTTTCATGTAGTTTTAGAAATCAGAGCATGTGTTGCCTAAAGTCCCCCTCCACCACCACAACCAGCACCATCTCATTTTAACCTTTACTGTTATGTTACTCATTGCAGTATTGTTTAACAAAAGCGCTTTCTAAACCCATTATGAGCACAAGCAGCCCTGTGTGACGCCTCGGCCTATGGAGGCATATAGCATAACAGATGGATGGCTGTTTTAGAGCAGAGATGCCTCTGATTCAGGCTGATGCTGAGCTCCTCCTCGGATGCGTCAGAGTGACGTTGTCATGGGCAGCTGAATGCATTGCAATGCCTCAGCACAGGCTTAAATAAATGAGCTCACAATGAGCAGTCCATTGAATCCATCTTGTCAGCTGAGAGGCGCAACAGGCTAAATCGGTGGATTTTAGACATTTTAAAAATGGCTTATCTGGACTAATTTTTGAAGAATTATGAAAGTATTCACAATTATGCCATTCTATAATGAGCGAGTGTTTCAGTGTGGACATATGCAGGCCTGTGTCGGCCCTAGTAGTTAAATTATTGAATATGGATCTAAAAATTTAATCCCAGTACGTTGGATTTGCGGACTGCAGTAGAACGGGGTGGAAAATCAGCAGCCCACGGGGTTGGGGAAGTGCAAACATGTCAGAGGAATCTCTGAGTGCTTTGTGACCCACATTCAGACTCCCCAAGGTAAAGGAAGTGGCAACTTGCACGTGCATAAATACACAAGCAAGCGTTTGCAAATGAATGCTTAATCTGTGACACACTTAGATGTGCTCACATAATGTACTCTCGCTCTCAAATTGTTTCTGTTGTACATATTGTCTAATAAGCCGTCCAGATCGGCCCACACGATGCGCAGACACTCGTTCGGAGCTCGCAGGCACAGCGGTGGGCCGTGCCAGCAGCGCGATGCGACGACACAAAAGGCCGATTGAGCGAGGAAAGGTCAGGGCCCAGTTCAGATGGCCTTTTGAACCAGAGTGAGGGTGTTTGAAGAGACAGACCACCCTCCAAGCTGCCACCCAGCCCCTGAAATCCCCCTGGTGGGCCTGGATGGCAGCATTGTGCCCTCGCAGCTCTCCCCAACCAAAACAGGAAACCTCTGTTTGTCTTATGGAAGTGCTGCTATTCTTTTTCCGTATACCTGTTGAACTTGCATTATTTCTGTCTCTGTGTTGCAGGTGTCAGCTGGTCAAGTGTTTCGTGTGTGTGAGTGTGTGTGCGCGAGCAGGCTCGTGTATTTTCTCAACCCAGCCAGTATTCACAGAGGAGTGTGTCCTGAACGCATCTCACAGGGACAATGAGTGAGCTCGAACAGTTGCGGCAGGAAGCCGAGCAACTACGTAACCAAATCCGGGTAAAACAACTTAAAAAAAAAAAATTAAAAAACTTTTGGAAATGACTTGCACAGCTTCAGCTGAAACCATTACTCATGAAACTCTTGAATTTCCTTCATTCTTGATTTCTCCTTGTAGGATGCCAGGAAAGCCTGCAGTGATTCCACTCTGTCACAGGTGAGGGACCTACTTACACAAAAACCACTTTGTTTATTTATTTTTTGTTGTTTTTCATTTTAGGGCTGTTTTTTGAGACGATGTGTAATTTGGTCAACCAATGTTTCTTACTGAAGCAAGCTGCGTATAGGACAGGGTCTGCAACAATGCATAGAAAAATAGATTTCCTTCCCTACAAATGAAGATGAGCTAATTCTAAGAGCTTTGTTCTGGTGACAGGTGTGGCAACGCTGTAAATGCTACAATTTTCTAACTGCAGTAAAAGTCTGATTCCATTTAAATACACTAAAAGTGAGCATTAAGCATTACTCTTCGTGGAACTCTGTAAAAACTGGAGACTACTACTCAATCTGGAAAAATGTGGTATCAGTGCATCCGTACTGACAAAATATTTGCCACTTAATCTACTGTGGATTGCTAAAATATTAAATGTATTACAATTAATGTGAAAATGTATATTAGAGCTGACCAATGTTGGAGTCAAATGAGTGACGGTGCACAGGGTGGCACTGGAAAACTGCAAGGAAAAAAGCCTAAAAACACACAGTCAAAAAGACAGTGGAACGACACAGAAATGATGATAATGGAAATGTTTTGGTATAGATGTAAAAAAAATAAATAAATAAAAAAAATAAGAATTTTTAAGCACAATTTAAAAGTGATACACATGTGTGCAAATTGTAGCCAGGATGCTCAACATAGGAAATTATGGCTCATTTTATTCAGTCAGACCTAAAACATGCATAATATGTCTGATTTGTATACTAAACTACATTTTGTGAACAAACTCTGTGAAAGAATTGCCTCTTGAGCCTTTGTTTTCAAATAATGCTGAGTAGACTCTGTGTCCAATGTATTGTTACAGTTTGCAGGCGTAACGGCTTAAAGTAATGCAATACTTATGAAAGATTGCTTTGCTGAAATGGATGATTCGTCATTGGTGATCAGAGAAATATCACAGTTGAAATTCTGTTTTTCATAATTAAGGAACCACTTTGGTCTGGAGCTCTTTATTTTACCTGGATGTGGTTTTACTCTGGGCATAACTGTGTATTTGTACAAAACACCGAAGACTTCTCCAGCCGCGTTTCTTTGACATCCACTTTCACTTCTAGAGTGCGACACTGATCGTCTCCCCCAAGATCAAAATCTCTAAGTAGTGAAAGATCATACCAGTTTTTTAACATGGTAACTCTCTTCATTGTAGGCTGCTGAGCTTTATTTTCATTTTTGACACAAAACATCATGCACATGCCCCTCTGGTATGTCCTCCACATTTGGGTATGTTATAAATAATCATGGTCGGAACAATTGGAACCACATTGAGGTCATTTTTATTTGACGTGTATCTAGCAGCTTTTTTATTTTTTATTTGCTGGTTTGTCTTGCTGTTAAACACATTTTGCGCTCTTTAAAGATCGTTTTAATAAGTATTCAGCAATATGTTATGATTTAATTCTGATCAAATGCATAAAAAGATCAAAACTGGATATTTTTACTTTTAAACCCTGGATCAGGGAGTAGACCATGTTTAAGGGTCAAACAAGTACTACGAGTTGCCTGCAAATGAAGCTGTTTTACTTTACTAGTTTTTATGGCAATTCGTTGAAGAAAACCTCCTTAAGGGAACAACATTCAGCTTCAGGCTGAATGTTGGACTGGCCCAGTCAAAGTCCATATCGAAATCCAATTAAGTCAGTTAAGTATCTGGTGTTCAGATACTAACTTCACAGCAATGCATTAATTTGCATGTATTTTATTCATTCTAATTGAATATTTGAAGTCTGTGGTTTTACCATTTAGACTTCGCTGTACATAAATAAAAGTCCAGGAAATCCTGATATAAATGTTTTCTTGCTTTTTTTTTTTTTTTTTTTAAGTATCATCCTGTTTTTGCTACCTCAGCTTGAGTCCAGTTCTGGCATCGGTCTTTCCCTCCAGTGTAACCAGTGACCCGTCTTCCTGTGTTTATGCAGATCACAGCTGGTCTGGACTCGGTGGGCCGGATACAGATGCGGACGCGACGTACTCTCAGGGGACACCTGGCCAAAATCTATGCAATGCACTGGGGGAGTGAATCCAGGTGAGGATTCTCTTTTTCATTTGTAGAAATTTATGTTAATCGGGTTCTCTGTTTGTTTAGTTTTTGCAAGAGTTGTGTATTTAGAACATTTGATTTAAAAGCTGTGATTTGGCTGTGTTTAGATTTTTGCCTTTGCAGTATTTACGTCCGCCATTTGCTGCCTTAATTTGTTCAATCGGCTCCAGTGCAATCTGTCTACAGTCAGTTCCAAAGTCCAGCCAAAGTAAGAAAAAGAACAAAAAATATTAGTTCATCTTCAATCTATGTTTATGATCCTGCAGCATTGAATACTTCAGCTGCTGTAGAAGTACCAATGAAAAGTTCTGGTTCAAGTACTTTGTAGTGCAGCATAACTTTAAAAATAAACTGTCTTTACATGCTTTTTTTAAAATTGGTAATAAAATATTTTCCTTTTGTTCTATTGTGTGTTTGTGTCACTCTTTCTTTCTCTATCAATGCAATGCAATGTGGCAGTGACGACAGTCCCAGGTCTGGGGCTGTACAACTATCACTTCCACCCGTTCTCCCACTCCCCTCTCTACTAATATGACTAATATTCCCATAATCCCCTTTTACTATCACTTTAACAAGACACCAGCACTGTTTTACCTCTTCGCTATGAGCACAGTAGCGACATTTGGCATAAAACGCTTACCTTATTACAGATGCAGTTTCTAAGATCTCAGTTTTTACTGCTGTTTTCTTGCAAATCTAACATTGCAAGATTCTGTTGTCTACAAATGTTCATTAAACTAGATCTTATAAACTCCTTTTTTTTTTTTAACAATTTGCTGCAAATATGCACACTGAGAGGCACCAAGAATTAACAAGTTAGGATTTTAGTTCACATTAAGTATGCATGCAGTGCACTAATCTTGAGGCATAGAAAGTATTTTTTTGTTTCCGCAAGCTGCATATACTAATTTGATCTGGATCAAAATTACACAAGTATATATATTTTTCCAACTAAAAAAGGAAGGTAAAAAAAAAAAGGCCTTTGCCTCATGAAAAAAAAAATTACAATAATGTCAATCGGCAAGACATGCACAACTAGTGATTTTGATCCATTTGTTGTAGGTGTTTGACATGAAGCAAATCTTTACAGCTGTTTCTTAATGAATCCACCAAGTATCATTAACGTAATTCAACATGATATTTTTATGCTTTTGAAAGATGCAGTGGTGTTTAATGGCACACTTGGACTTGTGTAAAGGCCTGATGTCTGTGGCTGCTCCTTAAGACGTGTGTTCGGTTGAAGGTGTGAGCGTGCATAGGCGTGCCGAGCACCTTCTACGTGACCCCCCCCACTTCCCCCCAGAGACCAGTATTTGTTTTGTATACAGCCACTGACATTTGAGGACTACAGCTCTCCTCTTGATTGTACTGCAGCACCATCAAACCACTTCCTTTACCTGGAGAGGTGGAAACACCCCATCAGGATGAGAGGGAGGGGTTCCAGCTGTTCCTGCATCTGTGCCATCTAGAGCCCCCCCCGCCCCCACCTCACTACTCAAATTTTCCTCCCAGCTTAAGTAAACCACAGTTTTGGCTTTTGCATTAGTGAAGGTTTGAATATTACTTGGATTGGGACATTCAGAGGAGTAAGAGATTGGTGACGCTAAATGCTTTTTAACCTCCAGGCTGACGATCCAGCACAGCAGTGTTTAAGGTGGCTGCCACTCATTGCTTATAATAAACAAGGTGCATGTAGCTTAGATTGTGCTTGATAATGTGGATATGAGTGGCGTGTCATGCTCATGTGCTTCACCTGCCTCCAGGTTACTGGTCAGTGCCTCGCAAGATGGAAAGCTGATCATCTGGGACAGCTACACAACAAACAAGGTGTGTAGGATTAATAATGGCTGACAGTTGAAATTATTTACACTAAAATCTGAAGTGTCTTGTGATGATTTGTTGCAATAAGTGTGTTTAGTCATAGTAAGTTAATTAGAAGCAATGTAGTGAAATTATGCAAGTGCAACAAAACCTGATTTTCATTTACCGTCGATGAAGCTGCTACATCATTTAGAAAGCAGGTTTAGTGGTCTAGGTTGTGGTGGTGGTGTTGCAATGAGTGCGAAGCAGTTTGTATAACAGACACAAGCCTTTCTTTGGACCCTAAGTTTTGTATGAAATGTGCAGTTTTCTGTCGCTCACTCTTGTTTGAATTTAGATGCATGCTATCCCACTGCGTTCTTCATGGGTGATGACGTGCGCCTACGCCCCCTCTGGGAACTATGTGGCCTGCGGAGGCCTGGACAACATCTGCTCTATATACAGTCTGAAGACCCGTGAGGGCAACGTGCGGGTCACCCGAGAGCTACCTGGACACACAGGTATGGGGGATTTTTTTATTTTTTATTTTATTTTATTTTTTTCCACGTGGCCACACTTTGTATTGTCTCCCCTGGTTACAATGGCAGTAAAACTTATTTTACATTGAGTTTTCAGGGCAGAATATTAGGAAAAATGAGTTCTGTTCTAATATAGGTTCTCTGCTTATGTTCAGGTTATTTGTCTTGTTGTCGCTTCTTGGACGACACCCAGATATTAACGAGCTCCGGAGACACCACCTGGTGAGCAGACCCCACACTCAAAACACTGCAGCCCATTGAGTGCTGACAGAGGATACTTCACGATTTACATTTTTAAACCACTGTACTCTGTACATGTATTTAGTGCTGGTATATTTTGGTTTCATTGGGTTTGTCTCTTTCAGAGTAAAACAAAAAACACTGTTTGGGTCACTAATAGAACTTTTTTTTTTACTCTTTTTTTTTTTTCTGTTTTAAAGTGCATTATGGGACATAGAGACGGGCCAGCAGGCCACCTCCTTCACCGGCCACACAGGCGACGTGATGAGCCTGTCTCTTAGCCCTGACTTCCGGACTTTTGTGTCCGGCGCCTGTGACGCCACCTCCAAGCTGTGGGACATCCGTGACGGGATGTGCAGGCAGTCTTTCACCGGCCACGTGTCTGACATCAACGCCGTCTGCGTGAGTTCTGTAACTTTTGCCACAGACGAACAAACTCAAGTTTGGAGGATTGCACTTTCTGTTGGACAAAAGAACCCCAAACCTTTAACTGTTCACTGTCTGAACAGTAAAAGGTTTAGCAGTTGTTTCTACTTTTTCTTTCTGCAGTTTTTCCCCAACGGTAATGCGTTCGGCACAGGCTCGGACGACGCCACCTGCAGGCTGTTTGACCTACGTGCCGACCAGGAGCTGATGACCTACAGCCACGACAACATCATCTGCGGCATCACCTCTGTGGCCTTCTCCAAGAGCGGCCGTCTGCTGTTAGCCGGCTACGACGACTTCAACTGCAACGTGTGGGACACTCTGAAAGGGGACCGAGCAGGTATGAGACAAATGACCAGGCTTCAGCTCCCACCACGTAATGTCGAGCAAAATCTGTCTTTAATTGTAAATGCGCTTCTTTTTAGGTAACCAGGTAAAAGTTTTTGTTTCTGCTCTTATTTCACCCTATGTATCTGGCGAAATACGAAGCAAGAATTCAGTTTGAAAAAAAAAAAAAGAGCTCTATAAGTTGGCAGTAACTTAAAATCAAATCTGTGAGAAAGAGAAAATGATTTAAAGTCTGTTATGTGATTTTTTTTTTTTATTTATTTTGAATTCCAAACTGGATTCCAAAGACTTTATTGGTCAGCTGTCTGCGCTTTGAATTGACATGCACTGTATTCTGTTTATGGATCACTGACTGAAAAAGTATTTTTAATGTGGAACAAAGGTAAAAGCAGTATATTGCAAAAAAGTTCAGTTCACCGCAAGGAAACACATCCAAAAACTTAAGTTAAAGACGGACATATCTTGGAGAAACTTCCAGAAACTGGAGTCCATAATATCTATAAGCAGCCTCTATTTTTTCTGGTACGTTACAATTTTTCTGTTATTTCTGTAAACTTATTGCTGTTGCTATACTTTGTTTGATTAATATGTTTGACTGCATTAGCTGTGTAGAGCCACATAATATGTACTCAACTCGTTGAAATGGACTTTATTTAGGGAAATCTGTAAAAGAAGCTTTTTCCTTCCACTTCAGTTCGCTTTACTTTGTGTTGATCAGTCACATAAAATCCCAGTAATACGCTTTGTTTCCAACTTCTGTGTGATGAAAACAGACAGAGTTTAGGACGCATGAAAACCCTTGCGAGCCTCTGTACGTACAGATTGTGTGACCGGCCTGCGGCTCTGCTTCGTCTTCCTTCTCCTGCAGGCGTCCTCGCCGGCCACGACAATCGTGTGAGCTGCTTAGGAGTGACCTCTGACGGCATGGCCGTGGCCACCGGATCCTGGGACAGTTTCCTCCGGATCTGGAACTAAACTCAGCGTCTCGCCTGATGTACTCGATCACTGCCCGTCACCTTGGGTCTGCAGCCCCCCGACTCACCCGCTGGGCTGGACTTGAGGGAGTGCATTTCTGAAGCCCTTCTCACTCCTCCAAGCTGAAGACTTTCTCAACCTTTTTCAGTTTTTTTTTTTTTTTCCCTCAGCAGAGCTGTCACAAAGCCACAAAAACCTCTTTATAAAAAGTCGTCAAATTGAAACCATGAAATTATTTCTAATGGAAATAACTGAAAGATAATTTTGATTTCCTCTTTTTCTTTTTAAGGGCATTAAAGTGCATTTGTGGCCACGAGTACAAAACAAAATTAGTATCAGTGTGTAATATGTAAATGTATATATAAAGGCAGTATATATGTATAGCATTATGTGTGTATATATGCATCATATATGCATATATAATGTGTGTATGTATATATTTTTGTAGTTCATTTGCCTATCGAGGTATTTTTGTTGCTTTTCCTCTTTTGTTTTACGATAGACATAACCGCAGAATGCCAGAAATATTATTAGCGAACTTTAATTAAAGAAAAATGACAGTAAGCCTTTTCACTCAGTTGCGAGTCAAAATTTAGCCTGGCTACATTTTTTATTATTATTATTATTATTGGCATATTTAGGTTTTTTATTTTGGCATTAGTTGAGTCAAAATTTTCATTTTGTTTTGGAAGGGAATCAAGAGATTGAGATTTCAGGAGGAGCTTCAATCCAATATTTTTTCTTTTTCTTTTTCTTTTTTTTTTTTTCTTTTGTTTCTTTTTGTCTGGACCAAGCTTTAACTGCAAAGTAGAAACTGTTGAAGTTCAGGCTACAGTAGGCGGGGAAGGAAACGTTCCGAGGCTTCGGTTTGGCCTCCGCTCTTTTGGATTGGTGGTTTCAGATCATCGAATGCTGAATATCGGGACAACCGCATCCATTCCACCCAAATCGGCTGCAGCTCGACTGGTGAACGGAGGTCGTAATAGCCTTACCTCACGTGATCTGCAGAAGATTCGTCTTTCCTTCAGCATTAGGTTCGGTTATTTATATACATTTTGATGGCAACAAAAATACAAGCAGAAGCTGGTTTCTCCCTGCAATCCCGACACAACACTGCCCAAGGACAAAAAAAAAAAAAAAGTTGAGTTTGTCTGACCAGAGTCTACAGGAGCTTCTTGTTGGGACTGTGAAGGATTGTAGCAGCCTGAAAAAACCGGGAAAAAGATGTCAGAGCTTGCCGTGTCAGTTTAGTATTTGTTTCCCTCCTGAATGAAGGATTGAACTTCTTTTTATCATCAAGGTGTGAGAAAAGCAGCAGAAAATATGTTAGCCACTTCAAAATCACACCAGTGCCATAGCAAGCCTGCTACAAAAAAGAAAAAGGACACAAACATTTAAACTTTAGCATTTTGTTTCTCACCAAAATCGTATCATAAACCTTTTAGTCTAACTAGTGAAGAACGTACACCTAATAATAGAGAGCTAGAAGCGCACTCACAAGCAGTAGTACAGATTTTTGTGATGGAGGTTTCTCGTTATCCATTTTTGCATTCAAGAACCTTGAAACAAAACCCAGATCTTGTGTGAGTTGGACCCATCAGCTGTCTCAGGTGCCTGTCTGTGATTCTAAACTTTTGAAGCTTGTGGGCTGGACAGAGGAGGGTTTGCAACGAGGCACTGCTGTCTCCGTTTTGCCTTAGTATGCCGTTCAAAATGGAGGGTGAAATTAGCCAAGAAGAATAGAAATGTTTTTTTTTTTCTCTCTTTTATTTTATACAAACTCCCCACATTGATCCTACAGTCTGGAATTTGATTTAGTTGTTTTCCAGGTATGGATAAATTCAGAAAAATAACATATTTCTCTACCTATTTTTCCCTGATTTATTGGTAACATGGAAAATGTGTATGTATGTGTGTAAGTAAATGGAATGTTGTATTCATCCATCAGTCTGTCCATTAATCTGTCGTCCATGAATCATCCTGTCAATCCATGCATCTATATGTCCATCTGCCAGTGCATCTGTCCACTTGTCCATTCTTCTAAACAACTGATTTGTCCTTCAGTCCATTCATCCATTTATAAACCAATTCATCAACTGGCCGATCTCCAGTAGCCGCCCGTCTGTCAATCAAACAATTCATCCTTTAACCCATTTATTAATAAACCAATCTGGCCATCCATTCATCCAGTTTATCAACCCTACAAATAATCCATCAATTTCTCTATCCATGAGCCAATCTTATCAGATATCTCTTCATCCAACCATCCATGCGTTCCACAGATTGTCTATTCAGTCGTCCAACAAGAAATCTTTCCTTCTTTACAGCTTTGTTTTCTACATGCCATATCTAAAGCCTGTCTCCTGAGGGGAAATGTCTAAAATTCATAGTAAATGTTTGTCTTTATGCTCGAACCATGGCTCAGTAATGACTTGTGAAAGTGTGGCGTTTAGGAGCCGTGTGAGTGAGAACGTGCTTTCCTCCCAACAGAAGCAAACACTGATTCCAGTGAACACTAAGACAAACGCTTGGAGGAAAACCACATGCAGCTCCTCACCGCTTCTTAATGCCTCGCTTGTTTTATTCTTTGTATTTTTTTATTTTAAATGTACAAATCTGCTTTCATCTAACAGAAACGTTTGCATTTCTGGTTGGTTCAGCCGTCAGTTATTCCCTCTTTGAAAGAGCCGTGGTTCTGGTCAACATGCCATTTTAAAGGGTTCATGTGATTTAACTCTTCTTTTGAAGTTGAAAGACTCATCCTGAGGGAATGTTTGTGAGCAGCAGATAGATCGTAGGATATCCTGGAGAGACCATAGGATGTGAAATGTCTTGCATATCAGTTTTGACGAAGGCTTGTGTGTGTTAGGTAGAGGGACCGGGTGTAATCTGATGTTCAAGTGTTACTTCCTCATTCATCTGTGCCAATGTGCTCCACAGACCCTGAGCTGTGAACCGAAAACTAGTCTGTACAATAAAAACAAAAACAAAAAACAAAAAAAAAGAACATTGCTAGCGTTAATCAAGTGCCAACTTTCTCTGTCATTTTCCACCCAATCTGTTGTCTGATCTGACAGGTTGACTGCTTCCGTTTTTGTAACCATAAGTGTCATTTCTGCTACCAAGCTCAAAGACATTCAGACGTTCATGTGTTAATTACAGGACTAAAAGGTTTGGATTTAAAGAGACAGGACATGATTTTGGAAGTACTCTCTCGTTCTGACAGTTCAACAAGAAGATGCTTGAAGAAACATTTAACGTTTTGGGTCTAATTTTCTCTCAGCTCCATCAGCAGTAGATTCTTGACATTGTGGGTTTTCTTAACATATTAAAATGTAACTTGAGCTGTTATAGTTTGTTTTGTTTTTTTGTCTCTGAACACTAATGCAGCAGGAATTTGTCTGCATGTTAACTCTCAAACATAGCTGGTTTTAATCAAACCAGTCATAACCAAATGTATATGTTCGGTAATGCAGGATGAATATTTTTACCACTTGAGGAAGTGACTGAATCTAAACTGAAAGGTGGATGATTTTTAAAGTTAAAAAAGAAAACGCCTGATTAGGAGTTCCCCTGGCAGTCTGTGACGCTGCTTTGGTCAGGATGGCAGATCCAGACTGGTCAGGCCAGTATCATTTCAGCTTCACGATAAAAACACATTTGGACTCCTGGACAGCTAACAATGGGCTGATTGAGGATATCAAGCTATACCAAAGCTAAACAAAAATTTCAAAACTGCAAAAACTGTTCATATTATTTACATCCTAATTATTTTATTTAAAAAAAAAAAAAAGAAAAGCAAGTCCTGCTGAATTGACTGGCGTTTTCTCCAGCAGTGTTGACCATAAAGCAACGGCAACCTTTTGCTGTGGGCTGCTGGTCAGCTTGCTGAAAAACACATCACAGTACTGTTTTAGTGTTCCTTGTTTACAAGAAACAGTAATGGGGTGGAAATTGAGGAAATGTTTTAAAATGGTTGTAATTTTAAAACGGCATAATTCATAACAGCCTAGGATTATTTTTTTCCTATTATCACTGGTTGTATCTTTGCATTATGTTGGATGTTTCTTCTCATCTTCCCTAAATGTTGAACATGTCAGTTTCTCACTTTGTTGCTGTATGAATCTTAAAAAAAAATAACACCATGACCCTCAACAGCGGAGAGACAGCCAGTATGAGATGATGATGATGATATTATTCGGTAAACAAACCTTTTATCCCTGTGTATTTCTGCATTGTTAGCCGCTGGAGCCTGGAGTAGAAACACTCATGTGCCTGTGCAGTTCACTCATGCAGGTCGAACAGTAAACCTGTAAAACCAACAACGGTGCTTGACTTCATTTAACTTTTTCGTCAGTGTTGCTTCCCCGAATGTTTGGGGTTTTTTTCCCCTCCGGTTTTCTGACTGATCAGGTGTGTGCGCCCAGAGCCAGAGGTTCAGTGTTGAAGAGGCGACGGCTTTCATGTGTCTGACAGTTTGGTCCTGTCGCTGCTGCATGAGTTCAGTCTGTAATCGAGCTCCAGTTTTATTTACAGTACGACAAAAATGTCAACATTTCGACACCCCTGCTTCTTTTCTTTTTTTTTTTTTTTTTTTTTTTTTAACCTCAAAAAAATGCATTTTTTTTTTTCTAAACCCTACTGTCCTCAATTTTTTGTTTT